CACAGTAGAATCAATATCAATCATAGGAATTTCCAAGAGTAAGTTTAATTAATTTCCTGAGAATTTTCGCTTTTTTTTTGTTTTCTTCAGCAATAGTCCACACTGATATTTCTTTGGTCTGGTTAATCACAATAAATCATACTCACAATAAATCAGATGCGTCCGTGCGGAGGGTCTGAGACACCCCATCAGCCCTCGTGGATCCCTATATAGATAAAAATAAAAAACAGAGGAAGGGCGAGAAACCATTTAGCTAACTAGAGAAGCTTCGAAAAAATTTAGGTAAATTTAGTTGAAGTTAGTCAAAAATAAATCGACCTGATGGTTGAAAGCCACAAAAATAATGAAAAGCTTAAGTGAGGGGCCTTGCCCCATTCTCCCCTATGCGAGCTAGATGGATAGGCGAGCAGCAATGGTTACTTCTTAATTTTTTATTTTAACTTTTCATAAGACCTTAGGAGCTTAAACCCTAGGAATGCAGTTCACTAGAGACGTTATTAACGCTAAGTCTTATCGTTGATGAACAAACGCCGAGTAAAAAATAAGCGACCAGACAGATTACAGAAAATGAATCAATTATGCCAGTGACAGTTCTAAAAACCGCTTTCTTTGATACTATAATAATGGTTTTTCTACATATACCGACTGATACGGCTATAACGAGTCGCCACAAATTATACACTAAACAAATATTCTGTCGTTGGAATACTATGGCAAAACGTTCTAGAGATAGCTATGGTCTATGGTTACACGTTACCTCGAATCTTAATCTAAACAAAAGTAGGGAGAACAGGTTTTCGATGTGGCTGAAGTTAGATTTGGATTTGTATTCGGATTTGCGAATTTTACAGTGGACTAGTTCGTTAGTTACCTTAATTTAAAAAAACATGTTCCTGTGGATATTCCTGGAAAGTAAGCACGAAAATATTATAAGGAAACTCCCAAAAACCATATGCAATGTTGCTATACAGAAAATAACCCCATTTCCCCTCGCATCGCCCCAAAAAATAAATTAATTTAATTACTATTTCGCAATCTCGAAAAAATCTAACGTTGTCCTAGAGATTCAAGACGATTGAAAAGCCCCTTATGAGAGCTTCAAAATGATTGCTCAACCACCTTGAAACCGTCGAGAAGATATAAAACTACCCCAATCATGAAATGCCCTAAAATTCGTTTTATTTATTTCGAAATCTCAAAAATATCTGACGTCCCAGATATTTTTGACCTTGAGACGCTCCTAAATGAAATGCCCAAAATTTACTTTTCTCATTATTCCAATTTGGTATTCTATAAACTGAAAATCTTCGAATAGCTTCTTAATAGCTATATCAGAAGACAAAAGTTTTAAGAACTGCTTAAGAAGTAGGTGTAGATCTATTTTGGAAAAGGAAGAAGGAGAAGAGCATGTGAAGGAAGGAGTAAAAAGTGTAAGTGTAACCTTTTGTTTTTGCCTTCTTTTTGATTCGGATGTTTGCTCTTGTATTCCACAGTAAACTAATTGTAATTTTTTACTGTCTTACAATAGTGTGTTGGAAGAGATTTGCTTTTTAGCTCGAAATTTCTCCGCATCGATCATGGATGCTTGCGATATTCAGGAGAACTGTTGTACTTCCCATTTTTGTATTTATTTAGGCGTTCATTAAAAGTTTTCGGGGACGACATATGCGTACAAATTTGAGGTTTTGGGATTTATAGCAATTGCATATTCTGTTTCACTATAAAGCATTTCCAGTAAAGGCAACGCTAATATTCGATAGGGCACTAAATTCTGTATTTGATGCCGCTTAGGGTAACAGGGTGGGAGCAATAGTTATCGTGCTAGTTGAGATAGGTCTATACACCTTTTCAAAATTATCTTTAAATTAACCATAGCAATAAAAAATGATTAAATATACATTGGTGTGTATACATTTTAATTACGACAACCATTTCAAAACGGATTTTAGGGCATCTCATTATTGGGGTTTGTTTTATATCTTCCCGACGGTTTCAAAGTGGTTGAATAATACATTATTTTGAAGTATCTCTTCATTGGTCTAAGATTGCGAAATAGTAATAAAATTAATTTATTTTTTGGGATGATGCGAGAGGAAAAGGGGTTATTTTCTGTATAGCAACAATGGATATGGTTTTAGGGAGTTCCCTTATAATATTTCCGTGCTTACTTTCCCGGAATATCCACAGGAATGTTTTTTTTAACTGAGATAAGTGACGAACTGTTCAACTGCAATATTTGCAAATCCAAATCCAAATCTAACTTCAGCCACATAGCTTTTCGCGATTACAAAAATTGGTCCAGGCAGGTTGTTTACTCGTTGCGTTTCGCAATTGCAGCGATATTGCACAAGGCGGCGATTTTATTTGTTTACGATCCGTGAAATCGCCTTAAGGTTAAGCGAGAAACTGTTGAATTTTTCCAAGGTCGTTCACCTATCCTTTCACAAAGTTGGACGTCTAATATCGGTGTTTGCGGGGGAGGCGCTGGAAATATCTTCGCGGTGTCAAGGTCCCCCGCAATTTTTTATTGCACGTGATATAACACTTGATCTATATTCCATTTATTTAAAATCATAAGACGTCCGTTCTGAGAACGACAGAAAGTTGAATTTGTGAAAGCGCGCATTACCAATGGTATTAGTTTTAGTTATACAGGATGTATTATTAGTTCTGAGTTATCTGTATCTGTAAGTGAAGGAGCGTAGCCTACACCACAGGCCCATTACATTTCCTCTTTGACATAGCACTCAGCTTTGCATCAAGATCGAATCTAGGCGTCTCCCTCAATACCGAAAGGTGTGAAGTTTGAATTGGTGTTTGTAAAGTAAGAATACTTGTCGCTTTGCGTAGCTTTTTCTTGGACGTCTTGCTGGGCTGCTGTTTTGGTTTAGATAGCTCAATAACTAATGATCACAATGCGCGTCAAAAAAGACAAAGTGAAATTCTATTGCTCAGACGAAATACGGAATCTATGAAGTAACTAAGAATGGACAAAAAACTTTTTGTTATAGATCACGCTTCCTGTAGTTCTTAATAATTTACATATCCAGTGACCGGTGGAAAAATATCCGAAATTCAAGATTTATTGCTCGAAAAAAAATTCTTTCATGACTTTTACTTGAAATCAGAGTGTTCATACAGAAATGAGTATGACAAATATAAAATTACTATGAGCTTAACCTATCGAGTAAAGCGATATGTGGCAATGAGCAACTCTGATTTCAATACAGAACATATTTGGGGTAATTATGTTCAACATGTCAGAAAAAAACGAAAAGAAAATGTGGTCGGCTGATAATCTCCATAACAACGTGGTTGAACTTATTATTAGTGTCAATTCTGGCAACAGTTTTGAGAGCTACGTTGACAATGACAATTGTTGAGACCGGATTATTGCTCGACTGGCAAGACTCCACACTATATTCTCAGTGTGACTTGGACTACAGATGCATACAGTTTTACCAGTAACTTTGCAATGCCAGCAACCCTTCTCTTCAGCACATTGGACATCTTACCCATAGTTAGCATAATTTTAAGTTTGAGGGATTTGGAGTACACTCTGAACAATGGAAACGAGTCGAGCTATAAGTTGATGAATGAACATGAACCCCACCATCAAGCCGAATCGATATTTTATTCGGATAAATTGAGATAAAAAAGGCCCATTTTTTGTGATCTTATTCGGTTCACGCTAACATCTCGTTAACAGACTTATAGCTACTTATTAAACCCAAGAAATACTGTAATATGTTAATAGAACATGATTTTCACTGTTCTATACTTGGACTATTATTAGAAATACTAGGAGATTCAATTAAACTCCGAAGTCAGACATACACAGATGTCAATTCAAACGCACAGATTTCAATTTGTGTCTGTGTGCGTTTGACTTGACGTCTTTGTATTTCTGATGATGCCCGTGTGGACGACACATGTGAAACTTTTTATAAGTAATATTTAGAGATTGTCGAATTTTCATTGTCTTTATTTTTTGTTGACACAACGTTTCGGGCAGATGTATCAGTATCTGTTAACAAGTGTAGACTGTCTGTCTACCCAAAACGACAATTAAAGACAATGGAAGTCATTCATCATTGTCTACCACCTTCAAGCAAACATTGGACCAAAATTAAATGCGACTTTCTACTATTTGCAAACGATTTAAGCGTTTGTTATTAGACTTCAATCACGCCTCAGGACGAGAAATATTCAAACTTCCTTATTGTTTTTACAATTTCTATTGAGATTCACAGCACCTATTTCTTCAACAAATTGATATTGTAATCAAACCATGGATTTATTATTCGGCACTGCCCAGCATTTTCTTATGTTGCTGTTAAAATGGTGTACCGCTACGTGTAAGCTTGAATATGCTTCCAGGCAGTAATTTACTTAACTCATATTTGATCTCTTAAGTATGGTCAAAGACAGTTTATAGAGGTTCTTGTTTTAATGGAGATGTGGTTCCGCTGGCTAATGCAAGGCACACTTTGACATTTACTTTCAAGATTCAACGAACAAATTTATTGGGTAGATCCCTCTGTGATATTTTTAAAGGCAGTTTATCTACATTAATGTCATTATGTAATCAATATTACAGAAGTGTTGCGCAACTTTCATCGCTAGTTTCTTTTTTTTTCCTGGTTCTTTTTTGAACTCTTTTTATTAAATATCGGTATATACCGTTAGGCAATAAAATCCATTATTATTTATCAACTGCAAAGGCTTATACCGGGCGTCAAACAGTTGTAACATGGAAAAAAAACTTTGGATGGCTATTGGGTTAGACGGCATAAAAGATATGCTGCTATCAACTTGATGATTATATATATTATATATACATATATTATTTGCAATGTTTCGTCACGTACTGATGATTTTGTGACTAGTATAGTATAGCTCTTGGATCTTCCAAGAATTAATCATAAAGGTCACTTAAAGTATCGCTTTATAAGTTAAAAAGACATTTAAAATCAATAATGCACTCTCGTTCATTGCAGGCTACCATGGAAAGCTGAGTCATCCGCCCAATTAGGCCATGGATACCATTCTCAAAAACTCGACGCTGCCGTCGGAAAGCAACGACCTTATCATCGCCAAAGTGGTCGCGATGGCGGTGCTGGGACTGTCGTCCTTTCTTCTCGGCGTCCTTCCGCTCAAACTGTCCAAACTGACGTCACTTAAATCGATAGACGGGGACAAAAACCTGCTCATCTCCCTGCTGTTGTGCTTTGGAGGAGGCGTCCTGCTCTTCACCACATTCATCCACCTGCAGCCAGAAGTGCGGGAGTACTTCAGTTCTCTTCAACGGCAACATCGTATTCCCGAAATCGGTTTTCCCATCTCCGAGGTAGTTTTCTGTGCGGGGTTCTTCTTTGTTTACCTCGTCGAGGAGCTCGTCCATCTGTTTTTGGACAAGAAGGTGCACAATTCTGTCCTTCACCGCTCGTTGTCCGTGCGTTGCAGCTCGAGGAAGAGCGAGAACATGGCGATCCCGCGCGTGACGCTCACCAAAATCGACGACGGTACCATCAGTTACATATCCAGCTCTAACAAGGACCTGCTTGATTCGCAAACGACGATCGGTTTCGAGAAACACGCAAACCACGCCCACCACAGCCTCGACGACGCCATCAAGAACTCCTTCAGCGGGTTCCTCGCGGTGCTTGCGCTTAGTTTTCACGCCGTTTTCGAGGGCCTTGCCGTAGGGCTCGAGAGTAGCGTCCAAAAGGTGTGGTACCTGTTTGCGGCCATCGCCACTCACAAACTGGTGATCGGGTTCTGTGTCGGGATCGAACTTGTCACGTCCAAGACCAAAACCTTGCTGGTGGTGCTCTATATTGGCACCTTCGCCGTGGTTACGCCACTGGGTAAGTTTATTACCACGCGAAGAAAAAAGTTTTCCTCGTATTTTTAAATGGTAATTGTTAATTAACTTTGATTCAAATATGGAATATATTGGGAATTTTAAATTTACGAAATTATATTTTTTGAAATGTGACACTTTTATGATGTATACATACAACTGGAGTTTCTTTTTTATTGAATTTGACCTTTGAAGGCCAGGCAGACAGTAAGAAACTGTATACCCCCATAACGTTTGAAAACCAAGCCTTAACGCACTAACGTTAACAAATATCATATATATTAAACTAAGAATACGTTGGATAACCCAGAAGCCAGTCAGTATGGAAAGTTCTCTGTCAAAATCCCGTATTTACATTTTTTTATATTTTGTAACGCCCTGTGTCGTTGCACATATCATTCATATCAGATAATACAGTGACCCTAGTACGGTAAAAGATCTAACCTGCACTTTGCGCCATTTTCTTGCCGAACAGCTATTTCTCCACATACCAAATTTGAAGTGAGGAGTGATCTTAGAGCTCTAAGAGCAACAATTTGGGTGAAAGTGAAAAGCGAAAGAAGGAGGATGATAAATATAGCGGCCAGTAAAAAAGACTTGATTATATCTATGAATAGGAGAAATTTATCACTTTAAACCTGCGATAATACTCTAAACAACGCTAGCATAGAAACAGTACTAATCGCACAAAAAGGATACTGTAACAAATTAAACAACAGAGAAAGTAAATTAAGCCAGCAAACCAGAGAGTTCCGTGAAGGAAAGAAGAAAAATAAGAACATAACAAAACGGAAAGGAAAAACAGCTTGAAGTCCTAAATAAAGCAATAACGACGCCTAGAACGGCATAATATAGAAAAGATCAAAGAAAAGATCCAAAAAAATGAAAGCAATGAGACAAAAAAATTGCAGAAAAGAAGAGTGAAAATTTTAACGAGAATTGTACAGAAGTAGACTAACGAGAATTTGGTAAACCCTAGAGATTGTAGAAGTATGAACGTAGGATCTGAAGATCGACCACATATTACGGAGAAATACATTTAGAAATGAAATGAAATGAAAAATAACAAAGCACCGGGAGAAGACCAATAACTGGCAAAATGCAATCACCATTCTTACAGACAAACAGGGTGATATCACAAATCTGGAGAATTATTTATTATTATTATAAAATTATAAGGAAACGTTGAAAAACCAAGTTCGACCTGTACTAAACCACAGAACAGGCTGTACTTAGGAACGGCTAACCAACCAATTACAACTTGCAGACAAGAATTTAATTTTGAAATCTGTTGAATATAATACGCTATTGGTAATGATTCATTGATTTCCAAAAGACTTTCGATACCGTGAAACTCCCTGCAATATTAGCATCACTACAAGAATGCAGAATTGACTTTAGATATGCCAACTTAATACAACACATATACTCGAGTGTCACTGCAAGCGTCAAACTTCACGAAATGGCAAATAAGGACCCAATATAGCGGGGAATAAGACACGGGGTACTATATCACCTAAATTATTTACAGCAGTACTAGAACTGTCCTTCAAGTACACGGACAACCAAGGTGACGCAAAGCAAATTCTGATAAAACTGGAAAGCAAAGTTCATGACAAATCTAGTGGCTAGAAACAATATACGAGTTGGTATATCGGAAATTAACCAGGTGGACAGAAATAAGTAGTTACACACTTAAGAGCAGCCTGCTTATGTGTCGGGAAAGAAATGTATTCGAAGAGAGCATAATACAAAACACCCAGTTCACAAATTAACAGTGACACGAACAGCATTGGAAAGAGCTATGCTTGGAATAAGCAAGAGAGAATAGGAACACGGTTATAAAACAAAACAGACAAACACAAACAAAGACAACTAAGGTCACCGACATTATACAGCCTACGGAAGGGTCATGTAGCACGACAACAAGATTAGAGTGGAAAACGGAGAGAGACGACCCAAGGAGCCGGTAAACGACGAACTAGTTGGAGCGATGACATAAAGAGCATAACTGGAAATTCGATCAATGGTGCTCAAGACAGAAGACGATAGAACATTTTAGAGCAGGCCTATATCAAGCAGTGGATACAGGGGGTTGGGGGATGATTTCCACAAACTTAACTCGTTTTCCGAGAACATTTAACGAGATGTTTCGAGAAAATATTGCCGCAAAAATGGTTAATGGTGATTGGTTAAAAACGAAATTTAAATCTCGCGCATGCGCATGTTAATAAACCTACTATTAAAAAAATCATAGTTGCTTAGTAAATTTCTGAATTATCGGCATAGGCAGGGCCTCTATATCTCTAGTAACTATATGGATTCTATTATCGTTCAAGGTATCGGAATCGGCATCCTGCTGCGGGAAACTGAGAGCGACCAAGAGGACATCACCTGCGTGGTCCTGCAGGGCATGGCGGCCGGTACATTGCTCTACGTGGTCTTCTTCGAGGTGCTATCGCGGGAACGCGGCAACCAGCACAGCGGCATCTGGCAGCTGCTCGCCATTTTGGCTGGATTCGTTGTCATGTTTGCCTTGCAAACTCTGAGTAAGTACCGTTGTTCCGCAATGGGCTTTCACCAAGGCAACTTCGCCACTAATCACGTCGTTAATTTATAATTTGCTGATAGTATATTAAAAAGCACTTTCACGACTAAAAATTACGACATCGCGACTGACGTTACACCTTCCGGTGATTTAAGCGCGCTGATAATTCGGTCCCGGTAGAGGTTGACCGTTATTTTTCGGTGCGCCGACCTTTACCCCGGATTTTTGTTGAATTTCGACCGGTTTCGTCCATTGTTGTGACTTCTACGACATGATGCGTCGATCGACACGCTTAACATAGTTTCGACACTGAATTGGAAAACTGTAGCATTCGGGATAAGTCACAGATCATAAAAGTCAATGGCAATGATCTTACGATGCCCCAATTCTTGCGACGACGGAGACGTATGACTCATTGCTTTAAAAAAAGACGTGAGTGAAAAATTGCACTCATTTGACTCATTGGCCACGTACTTATACAGGCGATGTAATAGGTCAATTTGCCGGTTGAGTTAATAGTAATTACGTCCATATTTATCATGCCAAATTCTAATATGCTAAACTGAACGCGGTGAAAAACGCGATTTTCGCAACCGAGTCAATTTGCTTCTTCTAACGCGTAAACGATTGAAGTGACACGGGGGAAAAGTGCACCCATTATCAGCGGCGTTTATGTAGAAAAATACGCGCTTTCGCTGCCATTCGCTCCGTATACGGCAGAACGATTATTGAAATGGTTTGCCAACCGTTTTGGTCTGTCGATTGTAAACGCTTTTCCTAACAACAAACGCACAAACAAAATGACCTGTGGTAACCTCAGATGCGTTAACTTTTGCTTTTATGGGTAAACGAGTCCGTTGACCCACTTTCTAGCAGTGTTTATTGCCACCCGGCGAGGAAAGCACTCGCAATACGAGCGCTTCCCGGGTGAACGTTTTACGCCTGAATCTCTTAAAACGAATAAAAATATATCTGTCGCACCCGTGGAACATGCAATGACTGAGTATCGGGAATACGAGCGTAAAATAACTCGGCTGTTCCGTGAGTAACGGATAGATTTGGGTATCGAAAAGAAAGGGCGGCTGTGAAACCAATGAAAAAATGGCACAGATCACGACGCACTTCAGCTGTAATTCAATTAGTCGTCAATGTGCGCCGCGTGTATGGAGCATTACGTAGACTCGAAAAACAAACGATTTGTGGTCGATCCGATGCAAAAACTGATTTCTATTCTTATCGCGGTACCCTAGTAATTTAAATTACACCGGTTCTTCAGATTTCTATCGGCGATGTCGCGGCGCGCGCAGAATTTTAATTGGGATTTAGGAAGAAAGTTAAGGTTGACGAATTGGCCAGGAGAAAAAACACCGTGAAACGAACAAAGGAAAACCCGATATACGGCCGCGAGCGCAAAGTATCAAGGTAACCTTCAACAGTACGTTCCGCAACGAAAAAAAGTGGTTCTTGCCTTTACGACGAGCGGTTAATTGAAATGGCAATTTGTTTAAATTATACATGCCGTACCACGCCTGTTTTAACGTAATGCGAGGAAGTGTTTGAGATGAGGTGCCACGGATGAGCGTAGGTACCAGAACCCGGATATATTTTTTCAGTCGCCTTGTGATGCAATATTTAACGTTAAAAACAGTATAAAACTGTTGGAGTGGCAAAAAATGGTCGTAAACAATAGGAGAATGTAATATTTCCGCAATGTTAATTTTACATTGTTAGGTAGGCGACCAGTCATTCGATTTCGCCCTACCAATCTACAAAATCGAAACGGATATTTGGTTGTTTAGGTTAATATAGTCGTTAATTGTGATTTCAATTTGTAAACATATTCCTTACATAATGCACGGCATGTTTTTTTGCTGTCATCTAAAAATATAAAAATATATTGCTTTTTCTAGCTGGACACGATCATGGTCACGGAGGCGCTGGGGACCATCCCCACCACCATCACCATGAACACCATTAGCAGAAGTCACGACCAGGATGGACATTTAACTAAGTCACGGAAAACGGTTCTGGGGTGCCGAAAAAACGTGACTTTAAAGTAAATGTTGCCAAATGTGACTTAAAGTGATACTTCGTTTAGTGACGCGGCAAGTGACAGATAAGGTTGTTCTAAATCTTACAAACTTTTTATTTCGCTTTTTATTTTTATTTTGTTTAACCAAATCTCAGAAGCATTTGGTTTGATAAATAAATTTTGTAAATCAGTATGGTGCTGTTTGATCAATGAACAGACTCTACCCTGGGTTCCCTGAATCAAATTTTCATAAATACATGGCGTCGAAAGCGCTGTGGCGTCTTGTCCCGGTTACGAGGCTATCGATATGGTATAAAAACGCTAGTAAATGAACCATCATAACGCGCCCACTTATAAAACCTAGCACAGTCAGCAGCAACGGGCGATCGTAAAAAATGTCGCTCAGGTATCCGTAAAACATCAGGCTCGAATAGTTAAAGGCTAACGATCCCATAAAACTGCAAGCTAAACTATTGTTCGCCGCAACTAATATAACTCGCGCATCTTACCCGAAAGTGAACCTTGTGAAAGGTACTATGGTGTTTAGGGCGGGACTAGTGGCAATCATAATCGTTATGCCATATATCATATTCCACAACAAATAAGTGTAGGGATCATAATCGCTAAGACTACAATCAAAACTCTTAAGAGACCTAAAAGGATGTGTGGCATGTCTTACTATCGAAAAATATGGGGATTGACCGCGTGCACCGACATGATACAGTACGATATTCTGCCTTGAATAGCAGCCACATCACAAAATATTTTTAAAAATTCATCCCAGGCACCATCAATGCGCAATTCAGACTGGGTCCCCCTAGATTCCATAGTAAAACGGGAATTTTGTTGTCAATGTCAATCGAAACAAATAAATCTACCACTTGTTACTTAAAAAAACGACTACTAGTTTATTTATTGATAAATACAATTACAACAAATTTGAGTGTACATGTCTTTAAAGCTTCTTACTGACAAGAGAGTCTACGGTTTCGGTATAGCTTTTGCCAATTTTAATCAGAGCCAATCCTGAGCCAATGCCGCAAACGGTGCATAAGGCCACATTTTGCGGCACAACGCTACGAATTATGGCCCATATCAGAACAGAACCAAGAGAAAATGTTACAGCACCAAACGAGCTACAATAATACCAAACGGCTTATAAAATGCACTTTATGTCAGATCACCTACCTGAACAGAAGCTTTTCTCTGGTCGGCAAAGCTGCCAAGTGCGGCCGGTTGTACAAATACAAGCCAGAACCTACCAGCGAATTGAACAGCAAAATATTTGTGATGTCCCTCTTAGGGAATATCCTGTAAACAAGACTTAATTTACGTTGGAAACCGATAATATTCGAGGCAATTACCTCAGGACAAGCGACGGATTCATCACGTTAACAGAAAGTGCGGTATAACTGAGAATACCTTGTGCTGGGGCATAGTGAAACAGAATGTTCTGCGTTGTCAGAGGTCGCAGTCCCAATTTGCTTGTTAGAGACACTTTGGAGTCAGGTGATGCCATACTGAATATTAAATTGCTTGAAGCTTAAAATTTTAATTTCTAAAAATAAAATTCTGCCGAAACTTTTACGATACTCAGCACCCGGTATTTTTTTGACCAAGGTTTAGAGGAATTTAATGACTTATGCATAGGTTCTTCTTCATTATTTTAGATCTTGTTGAGCAAGTCTACTAGGGGCACTCACCCATTACGGATTTGAGTAGAAAATTTTTGATAATTCGAGGACAGACCGAAACACACTATGACTCGAAAACCAACCCATTACTTGTTGATACAATTCTTTTTTACCGATACCGTACGGTTATCATGTGGCCTTTAACCGGCGTGAACAACAAAAACAGAGTTGCTGTACGACACTTAAAATTTAAAATGTTCACTATAAAAATATCACCAAAAACATCGGACTCTGTAGAAAGCTTGCAGGGAACCAGCTGCCACGTGCAATGCCATTCACAGAATCTTGCACAGCATCTCAGCTAACATGACAACATATTTCTTTCTATTTTGCCAGTTGGCCGAAAATTAAAAAACGAAGAGAAGGAGATATAGGTTAAGGCCAATAGCGCCTGTACATATTTATGTTTAAAAAAATGTTCTCTTTGCAATGCGTATTAATTAAAACTGTAGTACCGAATGTAACGAAAAGACTGATATGCGTTTCGCTACCCAAACAGTTGTCATCACAGACAACGCCAGAAAATACCGATAGTAAAACCTCAGGATATGCACAAGCCTTTAAAAAGTTTGAAACTATTAATGAGGAGGCTCAAACGAAACCGGAATCGTTCGTGACGTTGCTGAGAAAATCCAAATTTATGGACGTAGGTTAGAGTAACGCCTTGTGACTTATATTAAAAGTGTTTCCAATTTGTAGCTGGGAGACCCATCAGGAAAAGTGGTCACAGGAAAAATATTCCACGTGGTGGACGACGATCTATATATAGATTTTGGATGGAAATTCCATTGTGTTTGCCCTAGGCCCAAAATGAATGGCAGGTAAATTTCTCAAATGACAGTCTGCTTAAACTATAGTGCATGTGTTATAATTCTTTTAGCAGTTACGTGAGGGGTGCCAATGTTCGCATTCGTATAAAAGAGCTGGAAATGTCCTCAAAATTTCTGGGTTTTGAAAAGGATTTAACTTTATTGGAGGCAGATTGTACACTCTTAGGTCTCACAAAGGGAAGGAAAGGAAGAAGCTTGGAGAAAAAATAGGAAATAAAACACTTTTTTGTTTCTTTATGTGTTGATTTTATTATTTGCCACGATTTACAAAAATAACTCTTATTTAATGTTTCGCAGTTATTGTCTCAATCAATATTGTAAGCACACAACATAGACACCCTCTAAACTACATACAATTATTAACGTACATTATAATTTTTATTTAAAGCTTGAATACCAAATAAAATTATATTTACACATAAATTTGAAAATGTTATATTTTCTTACAGTTACCCTAAATGTCAATAAATAGTCTCAGATCTATTATAAGTTTAAGCGTTTGTCTTTAAAATAATGTTAAAAAAAGTAAAAAAGGTGTTAATGGGCAAAGTCGATTTATGGTTTTCCGCTGGGTTATGTAACAGCTAAGGCACAACACGAATATACAAAGAAACCTAACCTATAACAAGGTGCATGGAAGTCCACAACACAGCGGTAGACAAACAGGGACCACCGCCATTCCGCTTTTACTCTTGGATTTCGAACCGCTTTCTGCTTCGTACATGTATTTTCCAGAACCCTTTGCGTAAGCGCCCTGAAAATCTTGATCAACGCCATCCGATTTAAAATTAATAGACTAATTTACCTCCGCGCGCCAACCCCCGCCACCTTCTTCTTTTTTGGCAAACATCTCATGGCCAGGTGGGTAGTACACAGGGGGCCCGGATACGTTTTTCGTTGGCGGTGCCGAATCTTTTTTGTGGCCGTCGTCTATTTCGGCTTGTTGCTGCTTCAGACAGTCGATCTTCTTTTGCTGCGCGAGTTCATTTTCATGTGCGGTGAAACCAGCGTTTAAGGGACTATTCGGTGGCTAAAACGGGTGAGAGGTAACTGGATTCAAAGTTTTGAAGAATACTAATATGATCGCGTTCTCCAATTATATGCAGGCTGCAAAGTTTTACGAAAATAAATATTGGTTAGTTTCAGTAAATCGAAATAATTATAGTGATGATTCCCGACGGTCGTTTGATACTCGATTGGTGAAATGCAATAAAAATAAACTGTGGTCAGTAAAAAGTTGATCATTATTGACGAATGATCCTAGCTTTCATGAGCACTAGAAGTACAGAAGTACATACTCTTAAGTGCCATTAAGGGTGCTTTCTTAGGTATAACCAATGCAGATAGCGGACGTTTGTTCCAACTCAGTTCAAAAAGTTGGAAATCGGTTAAATATTGTGACGTTCGATCAAACTATGATTAGTATATTGGTTAATGAAAATGTGCCTGTATAGAAGAGTAGTGGCTGTAGTTTTCTAAATTGTTGGTTGTTTTATGCGGATGTTGATGGATTTGAATTGTGATTGCAAATTGATTCTATTGTATTTGTTAACACACTTAAGAAGATAACGACTAGTATAGGTCCTTTAGCAATTTTGGATTATAATTACTAATATTTGTAAGTTGCCCAAATAATCGTCGCAGCCGCAGCCATTAGAAGTAAAAGTAGTAGTAGCAGTACAATTAAAGGTAATTAAAAGCAAAGTTGAGTAACAACCGAATGGTCTAATTTATATATTTACCTCATTACCAATAGTGGCCATCAGCTCGTCAATTCTTTTTGGAGGGCCATCAGGTCCTTCGTTTGTCGGGAACTTTCCCGGTAGCAAAGGTCGGCTTTCATCCTCCGCGGGGTACCCGCCTTTATACCGGTTCTCTGTAGTATTTGAGGATTTATAACTATAATGTATGTTGATTGGCTCGTTGGGTTTCTTGTAAGGTGGCTGGTTTGGGTTGAAAGTTTCCACATCCTTTGGCGGGTGGCCATTCTGGTAATTTGTAGTGTGTGTCTCCTTTAGAATGTAACTGCTTTTGCCAGTGGGGGGATTGTAAACGGGATAACCTCTTTCGGACATGGGAGGTTGATTTCTATTGATAACGTTGGTCTCCTTGTTGATAATATAGGTTTCCTTGTTCAAGGGGGGCGGCTGCTGGGGGTACGCATTTTGAATATTTTTTGTAGTTGTCGATTCGTTGTAGTAATAGGCTTGATTCGTAGTCGGAGGCTCCAGATCCGGCTGGTACCCTGGTTGGTAGTTCCTAGTGGTAATCGTCTCTTTCACTGTGGTGTACCCACCGGGTGGGGCCGGTTTTTGGTAGGGGGGCGCCGTATATGTCACATTGTCAGTCACAGTCTCCTTGTATTGTTTGTTGAGCTTCCAAGAGGAGTCTTCCGGTTTGGGGTAGGGCGGATTTGTGTATCTCACATTGTCCGTCACAGTTTCTTTATATTGTTTGTTGTATTTCACATCTTTCCACGCCGGTTCGTCCTTGTAAATAGTGTTTTCCTTGTTTTCGTACTGAAAATTACAGCGACATGTGGTTAGCTTATCGTAATGACATGACACAATTTGAGTAAAACAAGTAACAAAATTAGAGTAAACTCTCCCTTTAGTGCGTATTACACGATCTGTTTTGTGGAAGGGGAGTTTACATTTAAAGGTATACACACGGACCTCCATCCATGAAGGCCGGCTGACACCGTCTTGTGGGAAGATTCTGGGCGTCGATTTTAAGTATGGAATCAGAGGGTGGTCGTTTGCCGCTACTGGTGCAAGATTTATCAAGGTAGTCGCCCTTGGAGAATGATGGAATATTTCAGACTCTTCTTAGCAAGAAGCCCTCCTTCATAATGTATTACAATTAATTTTATTTAGTATAAAAACTTGAAATATTGTTTTAATCTGGCTGTATGACCCTAAGTGGTAGTTTCGTGGAAACATTGCAGCATGGCGGATAATGCCAAATAAATTATTTGAAAAAGTTGTTAAAGTAATAGCTGGAAGTGTGAAAAAGTTAGGTATATGGAATGGTCGGTGGAAGATATTGAAACTAGTGACGATGAACAGAGATGGCGCCATCAAGGCCAAGGAATTTTCTCTCACCTTGTTGTAGACGAAACTTTTGCTGGGTGTGGTGATTGAGTCGTTGGGGGAATAAATACTCTTGTTTTCTGTGTCGACTGTCTTCTCAACATTAACATTGGTTGGGTATGGTCCCGATCCAGGTATCTCGTACGTGTAAGTCTTGATGGTGGTCGTGACTTTGGTGTTGCCAGGTGGATGGAGGTTGGGATCCAAATGCGCCAACACTTCGGGATCGATATCGGGCACGGGCGTCTCGACCACCCTAAGGGGATACTCGTGGACGTTTGCGACTTTGGTCTGTCGCGTCAGGGTAGAAGTCTTCGACGATGGTGAGGGGGAGGTTGCGCGCAGTGGGCGGATATCACCATAGGTACCCTCGCCTGTATAGTCAACGTCTCTTCTGAGGTGGGACGTCTCCTTCTCGGTCCGTTCGAAGGTTCTCGTCTTCGACGAAGGTGGGGTGTTGCCATAGAGCAGCTCTCTGTTGACACTTTTTTCCGCCGTCCTGTTGTTTTTCGTGGAGGTGACATGGCAGTGTGTTTTTTTTTTCGGTTAAGGTTATCGGATACTTACCGAAAGGCTGGAGCGGTGCCAGCCGAGTTATACGTTTCTGAAAATAAACAATGTGCTATTAATAAGATTTTGATCTGCGAATCGCGTTCGAAATAATTGGTACCGACATTTAGCGAAGTGCAAAATGCAATTGTTCCATGTTTTATAATATAATAAAATTTATATCTATTTACAAGACAATTTTTTCCTAACATCTATAACTATAAAGTAAAGAAATAGTAAAAGCACGTACACTATATTTACTGTAACAAATTTGTTTAATTAATTTAGTAAACTGTGAGAGACTAGGACAGAAAACGTCAACATCATTATAAAATCAAAGAACTGTTTTTTGTTTTTCAATTTGGGTGAGGTACTTGGACAGTATTGGTTGCCATATTGTTGAACCATACTTTATTTTAGAGCAGAACATAACTAAAGTATAACAATTTTAGAGTACGCTAGCTTGCAAAATCTCTAGAATTTCTCACTACTAAGAAATCCAGTATTTCTAGTGTATCTTTATAAGCTTGTTCAATGTGGTTCCTAAAAGACAGTTTTGTGTCAAAAGTTACACCCACGTCTTTAAAGGTATCACACTTAATAACACCCAGCTGGTTATTTTACCAGCTATATTTGGAAACGACATTGCGAAGCATTTATCTATATTCCAGGGTTATTGGTAGCATAGCAAGAATCAACAGCATCCAATGATCATAATAATATGAAAGGTTTTTATTTTTTCAATAACAAAACCGAAAAAGAAAATAACAATAAGTCCACAGAACTGTCGAAATTTTGTCTTCATAATTTTAAAAAATATTTTGGTGTTCATCCAATGTTTTTTTACTATCGTTTTAATATGTATATTTTTCTTAATATTTTCGTTTTTATTTTTTTTTCTTCTTCACGAGAAGTGACATTGAGATGACTTAAATGTTATGTCGATTTTTAATTTTGTTTATTTATGGTCGATGTATCTCAATTATAGTAACCCATACATCTGTTTTAATGTGGTGTTCTTTAATTTTATTATTACATCCGTGTTAATATTTTTACTCGATACCCCACAAAATTGTTTTCTCTCCATAATTTCTTGAAAATATTTTCGTGTTTATCCAATGTCTTGTACTATTGTTTTTATAGTGATATTTTTCCTAATCTTTTCGTTTTTATATATTTCTTCTCTTCAGGATAACTGACATTAAGATGACTTAATTTTACGACGATTTTTAATTTTAGTTTATTCCTTCAAACGCAGTGTATTGGCATTACGTTTTCTTGCAATAAAAAAATTAGAAATACCAAGGAAAATAATTACAAATTGAGAATAGGTCCCTACCTTTTTCTGAATACGAGGACTTCTTCACCTGCTGCAAATCGTCGAGAAGAGAATCCAGCTGATTGATACTGTTCTGCATGCGGTTCCTCTCGGGTTCGATGTCCCTCTCCACGCTACTGGTCTTATACATGTAGCGTTCCTTCTTGTAAGCGTGGGTTTTGTGTCGACCGTCGGGGGACTATCGGTGAAACAAGAGATTGTATGAGTTTTTGTCACAGCTTATACGTGTGGTCTGTCATTGCGGGATGGGAGGAGTCTCAATTATTACGAATCGAGGTCAAAGGGAAAATCCTTTTTTTCCAATGGTTTTGCCGGTATGCGTAATATATATTTTTCTAAATTTTAAAAATTCTGAAAAAGCGAACAGCTATCATTTAGTTAATTTGGATTCTTTTTTAATTTCGTTTTGATTGTCATTTTCTAATTTGCAGCCCATATTTTTCACAAAAGAAGTGGCTGAAATAAATTTATATAGCGCTCCGGATGGGAAAAATTTACAGATATTTTTTGGTCTACAAACGTCAATAGCAATTATTTTCGCTGAACCGGTCCCGAATCTATTTTTTCAAAATGTTTTATTTAGACATCATCATCAATGGGATAACAAAAATTAATTACAATTCTTGCTTTAACAATAGCGGGTCCTGTTTTAACAATAGTTAACATAATAACAAAAGATAAATATTTCTACCCAAAGAAGTGACAAAGATTAACCAGCCCGCCGACCCAATTTTCAGATTACTTCGGTGTAATCGGTATGCTGAGCCATAACCGTGTTTGCACGATATATTTCTTCGAACTCATAACCTATTGGATGCCGCAAGATTCCATGATTTAACTCTGAAACAATATTGCTGCCTATAGTAACAAAGTAGTTGTCCAAACAATCCGCTATCTCGGCCTGATGAATTTGGAATATAAACCTAATCGAACTAATGCAGGTTATATAGATTAGATTTCAAATACGGGCAGACGGTTCGATTGTTCGACCCCTGTCGCGAGCATTCCAGCCGGTCGAAAAGAGAAACCGGGCAACGCGAAAATATAAATATACAACGGATATAAACGAAGATGTTATATAAATGACTAGTAGAGCGAATAGTGGATTTATTGACTTTGTTATTTGGAATAAATTTTCAGTTATGTTAACTTTTACGGGGAGTGACTTGCTTATATTCACCGTCTTAAAACGTTACATTTAATATTAATCATTTATCGAATACTTAACTTATCTGGCATTACAATTTTTTTAACAAAATTAGTTGACCAAGAAAGTAAATTTTTCCCGTTTAGTAATTTTACATTTTCGAGGGAACCTATTGGATGTAAATTAAATATTTTTGCAGTTTTTCAGGATTTATTAATATTGCTACGATCCTCCCAATTGTTAGAGTATTAAACATTCTTGGATTTAATAGCAGGTCGGAACTTTAAAGATAAGAAATCCGAAACTTTCAAGTTTTAATGCGTCATCTAAAAATTACATGTCACCCAAAGACAAATTTTCCCTATTACACAAAGTTTCACATTACGCAAAACTTATAGGCAATATGCCATACAAATAGTCTGATTTATTTGTTCGACTGGAAGACGCAGCAAAATCTTACAGAGTAATAATTTTCTTTTTGTAGAAATAAGGTGTGAAAATATCGGAAATTATTCAGCGCCTGCAAGGATTATTTAGTATTTAATTTAAACCGGTAGAACATCACTAGAAGAGACGCGAATGACCATTCTTCAAATTAGTGCGCACAAAGACGTAGATAGGTACACGATACGTCTTGCATCATTATTTGGGCTTTTGTTATTTATTTGTTAAATCTGATGGGACCAAAACAAAATGGCCAACCAAAGTTTGGGGGGTATTAGCCCGGTTCACAACGAATAATAACCACTAACAGACTACAAGTCAAATCAAAGAGTGACATAAACCTGAATAGGGACCCTAACTTAAGACGCGTGCACGTCTGTCTGCCGGAAAGGGTAATTCGGGATTGCTAAGGGATTATTTTTATGCATTATCTGGCGAAAGGTACTACATGGGAAGTTGCATAAGCGCCTGTTAATGCAAGATGAGACGCTGCAAGAAAAATTAAGGATGTTGATTATTATCTGTTCTTAGATTTTAAAAACCCTTACTATTTGAAAGTTTAACTTACGGAAAATATGCCATAAATAGATGGATTGAGGAAACGCTGAAAAACTTATCGAGGAGGGCATAAAAAAATACTTTATCGTTTTTCACTAAAATGTTGAAAAAGTACTTTGTAATATTGACGAAAATTAACAAAATATTAAAAATTCTAGCTAAATTCCTTGCACTTTGAAAACTTTCCTCGTATTATTGCCCGATTGGTATTCCGAAATTTCAGTGACCCTAAAACATCATTTTTGACAGGCTATAATACATATTTGGGCACTGCATTGCTATAGGGCATAGTACAAGAGGTACGTCTAGAATTTGGGGAGGAATTGAAAAAAAGCAATAATGTATAGCAAAAGAAATTTTCACCCAGTTGCGTTCGACATAGCGGCATACCGTGTAATTGTAAGCGTCATCCGACGAGTATTCAGTCACCGGGTTGGATGCTTTGACGTTGGTCACCCGTGATGCCGAGTCGGTCTTGGCCGAATCCAGGGTATTGTATTTCCGGTGGTTAGTGGTCGTGGAGGTGCTGCCGTATTGACCGAGGGAGCTCCCAGGACGAGACACCGAGTTCTGTAGGTCCTCGAGTAAATAATCTGCGACGTTAATGTTGCATTTAAAATCGGCTGGCACTAGCTTGGTGGATTTATAGGGCGTTTCATGGCTGATGGTACCTTAGACGTTTACGGCGAACGGTACGAGCGGCGGTACTCTATCTATCCAAAATTTTTAATGCTGAGACGTTGCCGCTTCTTCTGAAAAGCAGCATCAACATTGAAATTTTCAACGGGACACCGTGTATGCTATTGCATTTTACGATCGGCTAATACTAAATAATAAATACTACTAATAATAAATACTAAAATTCATTTTTTATATTTGCGTACTCACCTACAGGGGTTAACAGAAGTCATCGAGAAAAACTTTTAATACAAAGGATGTATAATTTTTGCAGTATTATCTTATAGAATTGTAAAAGAAAACAAATGCGCGTCGCAAAGTTGAGAAACAGTAGCATGTTTTTTATTTTTAAATAGAACACATTATATATTTTCTGTTTTGACGAAAGATCTTTTTCTACTGATTTAAAAAATATATAGATAGTTGATATTTGGATAAGCCGTTCTTGAATTATTGAAGTCCAAATTTTTGATTAACTAAACAAATCTGTTGATCGTGTTGATCAGTGTGACATAATGTGTGGCGTTACTTTAAGTCGAAATATTTAATTAGAAAATGGGTTACTCAGAGAAAGAAAACTTTCAACCAGTTCGTCTTGTTTATTCCAATAACAAGAGAATAGCTACCTGCTGTAAAACGGCAATATCGTCAAATTAATCCTGGGCGACGGATACCGTCAGCTGACACAATCAAACGTATTTCATGAAAGCAAAAGTCTCTTTGAATAATAATTAAAAATATTCATTCGTTCATATAACTTCTGAGAAAATCCCGAAAGTTCAATCTCAATTGCCGTACAATTGGGAATATCATATTACACAACAAAATTATCATAGCCAGAATGATTGCCAATGTTCGTAGCGGACAGGCACCCTAAGAAGAAAAAGAAGAAGAGTATACAATGACAGACCTCAAAATATACGAATGTTAAGTTAAAGAATTGAACAAAAAATCATGCTCAATAAAGATCATCCAGACTTTGAATGCGATTCATCATATCACGTTATTTTTTTTATTATTGTTCGTTGAATTATCGTTGTTATCGGTTTTACTATCGTTGTTGTTGTTGTAATTATGTTCTTTAGAATTTTTAGTATTATTTATTAATTAATACTTATTGAAATAGAATCTATTTGAAGCTTTTCTTACCCTGAGGAATCCTTTTTCCTACCTGAAGGTTTGAATTTGCGGGATGCCCGGCCAATTTGATTAGCATCTGTTTAGATAATCAAAAATTTAAACTTAAATAATTTAAGACCGGCTTATCCAAATATTAACAATCTATATATTTTTGAAATCCGGATAAAAAGATCTTTTAACAGAAAATGTATATTCCATTTAAAAATAAAAACAACTTCCTACTGTTTTTCAACTTTGCGATGCATATACATTTTCTTTTACAATCCTAAAAGACAATACTGCAAAAATTATACAAGCTTTTCCTCCGTTAATACTGTAGGTGGGTACGCAAATATAAAAAATAACCTTGACATAGTGTCCAACTTCAAATTTTAATGTTGATGTTACTGTTTTCCAGAAGCGACAAAGTCGCAGCGTTAATAATATTTAGGCATCACCGCTTATGGAACTAACCAAAATTCTAGAACAATCCAACCTACCGTTCGCCGTAAACATCTAAGGTATCAATAACCATGAAAGACCCCGTATACACTGTCCAAAATTCGATGGTTTCGGGTATTTCTATGGGTACAAAAAGAATCCGACCTCTTTTTTCGATGCTTAAAAAAACCACGTTTTGAAATGTGAACCCGTTTTTGAGCTTGAGCTGAATTTTGAGATAATTTTTCTTTTATTTTTATCTATGGATCTTTCGAGTGTAGCCTATATCATTATAGTGGTCATACCACGATAAAAATCGATGCGTCGCAGGCGGCATTGATATTTATGTACATTTCGCCCACTAATTTACACTTTGCGTCATTTTATATCTTCTAAACAGCGATTTCCTCACACTTAACTTGTTTTCTCATATTTAACGAGGTCTAGGTATATTTTGAGAATATACTACCACATTCAAATTTATTGACGATCTGTCAGCGGCCATGTTGCTTATTGAATGCCGCAAGGTCATTGGTTAAAAGCAAGACTTTAAATCCCGTGTATGCGGATTCTCAAGATTTTTTCGATAGCATAGCCAGGGCCTCTATATCTGTAGTATACTGCAGTACATTTTATGTGGTTTCCCAAAAGATCCGTGGGATATCATTTTATTTATTCTGATAAACATGATTTATTGAATGGTTCACTGGAAAATTTTCCAAATATAAATTACGCGCTTCCTCAACATTTTCATTTCTCTGTATAAAAAGATTTACATATCCTATTTTTTATATTTTTATATATTTTAACAAAAAAAAAAACTAAATCAATAAGACTTGCAATAAATACGTACTATATGTCCCTGTCAAACAATGCAAAATATGTATTTGACAGAAAGCATAAAAATCTTGACTTTTTCACAAACATGTGATTAGCACATAAGAAATAGGAGAACTTTGTGCTATATCTCAAAATCTAAAAATAAAAAATAAATTTATTTAGAGAACTGCTCTAAAAATCTATATAAAAAAGCGAATTAACGTCTTAAAAAGTTCCCGTTACTCAAATAACGGTCGATATATCTAAATAAAATTTCGGCCTCGCAAACGGAGGTCCCGACACTACCCATTACCATCCAATTTTGGACACGCTCTATAACTTTACCTAAATTCGAATCGAACTGGGCGAGGTCTTGCGTCGAGCCTCTTCCGTTACGCACTGGAGACACAGTGCGCATTATTTTCGTCTCCTGGTATTCCTTCCTTTCCACCGTCGACATTTTGGTGGCCTGCACGCGTGGTATCTCTGGAAAAGATTATAAATGAGCGGTTTGAACGTGAAAGACCGTTGTGGCTACTGTGGTGATCGAAAACAGTTTGGACAAGCCTTATCAATAATTCGATTTTACACCGTGTTGTTTATTTATTATTATAGTAGTATTTATTTATTGCTTTGCGAATTTATAACATGGCGGTTATTGTAGGAAACTTAAACGAAAAAAGTTTTTTAAGGAAACTGTTTAAATGAGGACAACAATAATCAAGAGAAAAGAAAAAATGTTGCCCCCTTATCCACTAATTTAATGTAAAATCCTTTGTTTAATACGTCAGTAACATATTTCAAGCACTTAAATGATCACCTTCAGCTAACGATTTCAATCTAGAAAATAAAAAAGCATCTTACACAGGACAGAAACCACAAACTAATATGTAGGAAGTGAAAAACGCACTACCACCATGAGTTGAGTTAAAACTTTAAATAAAGTGATTAAGGCTTTCGCTTCCAGCGTTTGAACTGTAAGTGTTTTTGTTCGGGCTTAATGGCCGTCGTTGAGTGGAATTTCTTCTTGACGTTTCGCTAGCACGAGCGGCTAGCTTCTTCTGAAGTGCTTCCATCTCCGATGTTGAATGCAGACTGACGCCCTCCCGGCCGTAAGTTGTATTTATGCCTGGAAAGTCGTGGTGGGGAGGGGGCGGGGCATTTTAACGCATGAGTGGTTGTGCCTACCAGGGCAGTCCTTGTGTTCCTTAAGATGGAGTTCCAAATTTATTTGAGCTGCAGTGTCTCTTCTTTTCTATTGAAATTATTTGTATGTTTATGGATTTCTATTGCTTCTCGTACGAGGCGGGCATGATTGCCCGAAGTAGGCGCAAGAAGCCTGACTTCCCCAAAAAGAATGTTGTGATCCCCTTCACTGAGCTCGTGTTCCGCTATTGCCGATTTGTCCGTTTGTCTGCAGTTTCTCTGATGTTTCATTATCCTGGTTGCGACAGATCTTTTTGTCGTTCCAACGTACCCCTTTCCACACGTGCATGGTATGCGGCAGACTCCGGCGGTGGATCTCTCTTGTCCTTGGCTGATCTTAGCGTTTGTTGTATTTTCCTTGTTGGTTTAATTATGGTGTTAATATTATGCTTTTTCATTATTTTTCCGATCCTGCCTGTCACTCGAGGAATAAAAGGTAGATAAGCACTCGCAACTGTTAGTTGTTGACCCGGGTCTTGTCGTGAGGCAGTTCTAGGCCTCATAAGCCTTATCGATATCAGATATCCTGCACCCATTTCATTGGAAGGCTTCTTTGAGGTGATCTAGTTCTGCTTCCAGGTGTTGTGGATCACAGATCCTCCGGGCTCGTTCTGTTAAGGTTGTAATCATTCCTCTTTTTTGGCTTGGGTGATGGTTGGATAAGGCATGTAGGTACCTGTATGTGTGAGTCGGCTTGCGGTACACTGTGTGGCGTAGTTTCCCATTGCATCTTTTTATTAGAACATCCAGAAACGCTATTTGCTGATTTTGTTCTGTCTCCATGGTAAATTTAATACTTGGATGTTGAGCGTTTAGCTGGTCCAGGAAACTATCAAGTCTATCTCTTCCATGACTCCAAATTATAAAGAAACGATAAAGGAACATCAGAGAAACTGCAGACTGGGACAAACGGACAAATCGGCAATAGCGGAACACGCGCTCAGTGAAGGGGATCACAACATTCTTTTTGGGGAAGCCAGGCTTCTTGCGCCTACACATACAAATAATTTCAATAGAAAAGAAGAGACACTGCAGCCCAAACAAATTTGGAACCTCATCTTAAGGAGCACAAGGACAGCCCCGGTAGTCACAACCACTCATGCGTTAAAATGGCCTGCCCCCTCCTCTCCACGACTCCCCAGGCATAAACACAACTTATGGCCGGGAGCACGTCAGTCTGCATCCAACATCGGAGATGGAAGCACCTCAGAAGAAGCTAGCCGCTCGTGCTAGCGAAACGTCAGGAAGAAATTCCACTCAACGACGGCCATTAAACCCGAACAAAAACACTTACAGTTCAAAACTTTAAATATTAAATTTTTCTAGACAATTTATTTAGTTTTAATCACATTAACTTAGGGATATTTTCGTCATTGTTTGGTGGACACTCGGGTTTGAGAGATGGACTACTTTTGGAATTATTAAAAATAATAATGAAGATTACTTCAAACAGTTCAAGTCATAATTAATAATAATAATAGTAAAGTATAAAATACATACAATGAAATGTTCTTCTCAGCATATTAGTTATTTGATTTGAATGAATATTTAGTTCGGTGTCTTTATTGCTTGAAGGAACAGCACAAATAGCTAAATGTTAAGCCAAGTTGCTCTTACGCTTGACATCTGCATTTGTTCTTGTTGACGTTTCGTCAATCATCCAGTTGACTTACTCAGATCTTAACTGCAACTGACTCGCGTTCTACTCTGTACCTGTTTGAGGGGGCGGAGCTAAAGGTGATTTATAAACAGCCGACAAAGGAGGGTTCCAGAAGATTTGTAAATTTTGTTATTGTAGGTAACAATTTCCTATTATAACTTATCACTCGACTCACTAGACTTTTTTTTGACAGTTACAAAAAGGTAAAAACTTATAGGGTGCGAGAAATGATACTCAAGAAATCACAAAACATGATGATTGAAGGTTTAAATATGTATTTACTATAAATATCTTTATAAATAAAACCATTTAGATGCACTTCTTCAAATGGGATATTAAAATGGTAACGATTCCCATGAAGTTTTTGACTTATTCTTTAGAAAACGTCAACAATCTCATTAATCAGTCCAAAAAAAGTTTAAACGCTTTCTTAGAAAATTTAAAGACTATTATCAGCGAAGAAAGCCGCGTGATATGCACCACAATATGGGCACTTGTGGCTCGTCTTAGAGACAGGGGGTTCAGTCTTCATCGTTAGTCTAGTGATTCCCACATATGTACATATGCGACGAAACAGTCATCTCCCAAATATTGTTATCACAAAAAATGCCAATGCAACATTTGTTTAACAAAACGATAGATAATGCAATTTAAATCCTTTGTTTGAAAAGATTCCCATGTAATTCAATTTTTTCCTAAATTTACGATAATTGCACAAAATTAGTTTCAGAGAACACAAAAATTGGTATAATTAAAAAATACATAAATATCTCCATTCTCTTGTTTTTAATTTTAGGATTATGAATTTGCTTTATTCACTCTCGAGCTAATGTATGCGATGAATACATTTTTGTAAAAAGCTTATCCATTTAATTAAAACTTCCGAAGATTAAAAACTAGGTTTGTTAAATGCCAACAGTTAAAACAAATAATCATTAAAAACAAAAATCCAAGAAAATAGTGAAATCAATGTCTATCATAAAAAAACACCAGTTAAAAACAAATTTCATCTGAGAATCAAGCAAAGTACGCCGCTGTGGTCTATGATATACGAAGTAGATTATGACAAATGTTACCCATTCAACTATTTTGCTGTCGTATTTAAAAAAAAAACGTCTCCGCATCCTACTATAGATTTTATTATCGCATCCGTCCGCACCAACTTAAGCCTTTTCTTCGAATTGCGACGACCTTCGCTAGTCGTAAGCTAACGACAAGAATTAATTCCAATTTCAAGGCGGTCAAGGATCCCAATACCATATATGGCGCCGTCAGATGACGCCTTTTTAAAGGCACCTTAATAAGAGCAGCCTTCGCCTAAAAACGCGCGCATTATTCCCACTCGCGTTTGCGCGATATTGTCGAAATTGTGCGCAAAGGGGACGTTGCAGTACATCGGAATAACACTGGAAACATAGCAAGTAGCGGACCAATCTCAGTAGTGAGCATTTTTTCTAAAATCATGGAAAACCCTATGAAAAAGCACTTATTACAAATATATAAATTCCAGTACAGTTTCGTTAAAAACAGTAGCACTTTAAGTAGATCTCGTCAATTATGTTTCAGAATGGGACATTATCATGTACCAAATCAGAACACAAATTAGAAACACGCCACTGCTGCGGGATGAAGATATCTACTGGTTTCCTAGGCAACGGCACGGGCTGATATAGTTGGTTTTCATATTTTATAAAATTTTGAAATATTTTTTAAAAATTAATTTAACTTTTATTGTTTTATTGGGTCGCCGGGGGGGGGGGGGGAATAGAGGATCTGGAGTTTGAAATGAAATGAAAATAATGAAAGTAAAATCAACTATAATTGAAGAAATACAAAAACAATAACTAAAATGGTATGAACATGTTGCAAGAACGAATGATGAACGTATTCCTAAGCAAATATTGAAATGGGTCCCACCGGAAAGAAAAAGAATATATATATATATATATATATATATATATATATATATATATATATATATATATATATATATATATATATATATATATATATATATATATATATATATGTATATATATATATATATATATATATATATATATATATATATATATATATATATATATATATATATATATATATATATATATATTATTGAAGGTAGAAATGAATTTGTCAAACTAGGCTGTTCAAAGAACTAAATATCTCTAGGTTCTGCAAATTGGACAATGTAAATTAATATTGAAAATATTAAATCATGAACAAAAATCTAATGTTTCCATAATTAAAATAAATCTTTATGCAAAAAGGACTAAAGTATGTGGATATCGCTGTTGAGTAAGAAAATGTCGCAGGTTAGTGAATGAAATTTATGTGCATGCCTGAAAGAACGTTTCCAAATTCCCAAATTTTGAACGAATTAACTAATAACAATAATATCTAGTAGATTTATAGGTTACGGTTATAAGCGGGGAAACTGACTTACCGGTCTGTTTTAGCCGATGCGTTGTTGATAATGAAAAGTTTATCAATCGTGTCTAAGTACGGTATTAATGAAAAATTCGCGATATTCGGCGATAAAACTGATAGGATGCTTTTTTACAGCGTGTTTGTGGCTTTAAAAAATGATTAACCTGAGAAGGAAAACGATTGCAAAAGA